ATTTATTTGTGCAACGAACAAAAACAAATCAATCACAAGCCTCACTACACAAAGTAAATGACTTCCAGGATGTCATTGACTACAGAGTGTGAATGAGGAACAGGATGCCGGTGGTAAGAGAACGGAGGCTGATGATTAATCAGACAACCGGAGGTGCATGCCTAATTCAGGAGCCTAGAGGCCGGGATGCAGGAACCCCGGGGTCTCTAGGGACAATTAAGTCACCCAGACCCAGGCCAAAGCAAGGGGATGTGTAGTTCTATTGTGAAGTTAGTTGATCCGGGGACAACCTGGTTTGCTTGTACTCTGCGTGATGCAAATACACCTACGTGGAGTGAAAACAATCCAATCTCTATCGTGGTCTGCAAGTGTTCGCTCCTGATAGTGAGATCCTGTGGTGTCTCACCATTGGTCAGATAGCTGAAGTTATTAAACTGGCAGTAAGATATTAAGACATTAATATATATAATAATAATATTATTATTAATAATATTAAGCATAAGCAAAGAAGCTGCCCGTCAAAAATCAACCCCTACAACTTGATTATGGATGAACGTTTATGGGTATCAAAAGAATGTAACAGAAAGCACAGAATCTAACTCACTCCAGGCACAAACGATCACTGGTGTCTAGAATTACGTGCAGCATCTATGCGTGCATGTGGAGCAGAATTTGCATTGTAAACAAGATGTATAACCTGTTCAAAGGTCTCCCGACCTCCGTGTCAATAAAAATTAAAACAACTTAGATATCTGCTAATTAGGTTTCTCGAGGGATACGTTTCTTTGTGCGACTAATCCTACTTAAGACAATAATGTGTCTGGGTTAAAAGGCTGTAGCGATCTGACTTGTGTCTCATTAAATCAACTGAACATACAGTTCTGCCCAACGCCTATCTGTCAACATGTTACCAAGGTGTTTGCACGCACAAAATACCTGCGTGATGTGTTGTTATCAACTGTTAAGGGCAGTAACAGCTAACCTGGCTGAAGCAAACCCCATTAAGTTTTACGAGTTGTCGTACTTAAACGCAGTAAACTCGTAAACCCAGCTGCTAATTCCGATTGACGAGCTTAATGGGATGCAGCATTACGGCCACCGCCGAGACAATCTTTCTCGTGAACCAGTAGTGTCTCACTTTTTGTCAGATAGCAACTGTGATCAATTTAATCGGAAGATATTAATTGGAGAAAGAGCCCTGCACAAAAGAAGAAAGTTATCCCAATTTAACCACAACTACAATAATGAGAAAAGATAACAAAAAGAAACGTACCATTTTTGTTGAACCAGAAACCCCACTTCGCTGAATGTTGGGCAATTAAAACGAGAACCGCTTCATCTCCTTTAGGACCTAAATAAGACAAACATTCAGAGGAAAAATAAAACACCGTTACAAACCAAGAAGCTGAACAACAAAGAAAGAAGGGAAAAATCAAGAAGTTGAAAGAAAATGAGGTTGTAACAACAGGTTTTTTTAAGACATTTAATAAGCCTAAATTCTCTTGTTCCTACTTTTAAATAGTCTAATCTAATAATTAGTTGTCTTACTGTATTACTGCGTGTAACTTTTATCTCTTAAAAGTACAAATCGGATTGAACTTCTCAGAGGTTTAGAGGAGTGCGTTTCCATTCTCTTACCGTGCCGGACGACTTTGAGCTCAACCACCAGTTTCTTCCCTGCTCCCTGGCCCACTGATGGCATCGTGGATAACGACTCTCCCTTCTTGTTGAGCATGACGACTTGGAGTGGCCCTGAAATGATGCGGGGGGGGGGGGGACATTTTTCAAAATTACCATGTTGTGATCCTCAACAATGACCGGTATGTGAGCCGGTGTGGTGTGCAAACAATGTTGTAAGTTTACCAAACTGAGTCCCGGCTGGACGAGCAGCATTCTGTGGCCAGGGGTTCCCTTCTGGCCAGTCCACTTTCAGAAGCTCTGGAAGCCTGGAACAAACAAATACAATTGACTTGAGCTGATGAAGTCACATCGGATTTATACGACTACGTCTAGTCAGGACAAGGAGACGAGGGGGAGGGAAATAAATCACACACTACACTACGGTTGCATGACTTCACATCACCACAACTAAGCTAAAGGCTCACCCATTCCCGGGTTTTAGGACTCATTCCTGCAACTCTATAGAGATGATTGTGCTGTGTGAAAGGCACATATGATGGTCTTGCTTTGAGGTAAAAATACATTGTAAAACCAAGATTAGCTGCTCGGAGTATGAGAGCATTTCCCCTAACTGCTTACTTGGCGGAGTCATTGTCAATGTTGATCTTGATGGCTTCATCAGTGGCGGTCTTGTCAATCTTGGAAATGGGTATGATCTTCACCTTGTCGTAAAATGCTTTGGGTTCCTGGAAACATAATTAATGATCAATATCAGGCTCCAAAAAAGCAAACTAAAGAAAAAACGTTAACGTAGAGATTTAACGTCAAGTTTCCTGTGACTTAAAATCTTGCACGGGGAGATTTTTCTACCCCGAGCTACTTCGATACCATGCTTAAGTACAGGATTTGCATGAATACCTTTTTTTCTTTATTACGCAAGAAATGGCTTGAACTACAAAGACAGCACGATAGAGAGTGGAAAGAACTGACATGCAAAACTCATGTAAGTCATATTTTTATCACAACTCCATAATTCCCTCCTTACCTGAACCACTTCAACCTCTCCTCCTGTGGAGAACACACTGTCGTCATGTTTTCCATGCAGCAAAAAACGAACCACACGACCATACAGAATGGGCACCGTTTTGTGAGACTTCACCTGTACGAAGAAGCATGCAGGCATCAATATATAATACAGAACAATCAGAATATACACTCAGAAAGAAACTAAAAGTTGCTCACGAGTTGGCCCGTTTTGTATATTTTGCCGTCCCACTCAATGGAAGAGAACGTCGCCCAGGGAAACTGCATTTTCTTAGTCAATTCTGGTCGTGTTATGGTCTCCGTAAAGCCCAAGAACTTTACTTGCTTGTCCCACTTCTCGTGGCAGTTTTTCAGCCACTGCGTAAACTCCCTCTGAATGTTGCCTCTTTGTTTCTGTGGACATACAAATGAACAGTTGAGCAACACCTGGTGGCTCTTTTACTTTTGTAATTAAAACAAAAATGGACTAAAGCTGCAACACGGGCACTGTATTGTAGTCATGTTCATGGTCCAATATTCGATGGTGCTTGACCTCCGATTTGGACTTATTTAAACAACTCCTGTAGAAGCATCTGGCAGAGTTTAGCTGGCTCGTGCAGAACTTTCTTCAACATTGATTGATTTACTTCCATTCATTGCCTCTTTGTGCTGTGCAGGTCGGCTAGCCTCGGCTAACCTATGCTAGCTGTGCTGCTGAACTTTTACTCTCAACCCGTTTCAGCACTTTGAGGAAGGATGTAGCAGCAGACCTGTTCTCTTTGACTGATCTTTCCTCCCTGTTGCACACTTGCTCACTAGGGGAATACAGCATGGACTCATTGGTGTAGCACAAACAGCTACTGAACACTTCCTGTCTGCTGCTTTTTGCTATATGATCGGGGGAGGCGCTACAAAGGAACGATTGTTGATTGCTGCAATTTGTTCAAAACCTCAAAAAAAAAAGTGCATTGGTATATGATCACCTGTGAATTAACAATGCGTGTGAAGAGGGTGTCCTTGTGCTTCAGTTTCATCTCCAGGTCCATGAAGGTGAGCTTGTTCGTGGTGACCTCGAATCTGTCGTCACTGAAAAGCACTCCTGAGATCCGACTGTAACACTCCGCAAGCTCCTTTGTTCCTTTATTCGGAGAACACCAGTCAAACCTGTCACAAACGGTCAGTGAAAATGTAAGAAAAATCAACAGTCTGTGGTAGTTAGGCACCGCCGCGCTTTGAGCTAAACTCTAACGTCATCATGCTTACATCCGGTATAATGTTTACCATGTTTTCTAATTAACATTAAACACAGATCCTTATATGATGTCATTACTGGACAGATTAAGCTTGGACTTGATGATAGTTATATTTCATCCTCTGGGAAACATGGCTGTCTGCACGTAATGTCATTGCAATCCATGATTATTAGTGGCTTCCACCTGCCTCCAGTCTTTGTGCTAAGCTAAGCCAACTGGCTTCTGCTGGCTCTAGCTCATATTTAGCGTATAACCCTTTACAACTAAGGAATTAAGTTACTTCCTAATCTTTTTTTGACTTAAATTGGAAAGAATTGTTTAACAAAATAGTTTAAAGTGTTTACTCGGGCACTTTGGTGTAAGGTATAAGCCGTCCATTCCAGAAACAGTCGAATATCGGCCTCTTCCCTCTTGCCTGATGCCGGGCGGCAGATTCATTATCAATGTCATCTTCATCGTCAGAGGCTGATAAACAAAAAAGGACCAAAATGAGACATGCAGTTAAAAAAAGATCCGTCATATTTCATGAAGTAGAATTCATATTTTTGGGTTAGAATACCTGGTTCTTCTGGGTAAGTCTCCTTGTCATAGAGGAAGGGATGATACCGAATGACTCCCTCCACCGAGCCTCCGTCTCCAGTGACGGCCGTGAACTCAAAGCTGTCTACAGCAGCGTTTATGTACAGAGTCTGCATGTCGTCGTCAACTTCCCTCAGAGTCATCGCACGGGGACATTTGGGAGGCTTCTCGCGCAAAGTGATCTGTGTAAAAGGAGTCATGTGATAACATTTAGCAGGAAAGAGACGTAGAAGTCAGTCTTGATGAGAATTAAACCTTTTAAGACCAGCAGCCTCACCTGAATGTCGATTTTAGAGGGATGATCCGAACCTGTAGAGCAGCTACTCATGTCCTTTCCGTTGACTCCATGAATGTAATAGTGATAGATGTGGCTGAAATATGGACAAAACTGAACTTTTTATTTTTTTCATAAGATTTAATCCAAGTAGATCATTTGGGACCTGTTCAGACTTTTGAGTGCATATCGGATGGCGTGGGTGATTGAACTCACGCTAGCTGTCTGGTCCACACTAAAAAATCTTGTTTCAAAAAGGCGATATGCTCGGGATGGACTCCCGTGATGACCACGGCTGTGAAGCTTTCCTTCCCAGATTCCTCAGCGATAAGGGCGTGGAGGCAGCGCTCATCGTCTTTATTCACATGCGAAGAGTCACCAGGCTGCAGGAGGAGGACGAGACGTCACACAGAGCACAGAGAAATCTTGCTGAAACATATATCACTTATTATAGTTGGTGCATGGAAATTAATTTTAAGATCACCTTGTTTTTGAAGTTACAAGCGAGCATGTACTTCATCTGAACAGAGGCGTTTGAACACTTGAACACTTACCTTCCTGTTTTTAATGACGCTGCTGTAAATATCCTCTTTGTCCCTCTCTTTTCTCTCAAACGCCTCCTTTGACAGAACCAGCTCATGAACATCTGGGGAGCCAACTGGTTTTGTGATCATCTACAAAAACAAAGTTATGGTTAATTTTAGCCACATTAGTGTTTATGGCAGTCTTTGTTCCTGTTTGTGGTGATGTTGCACTCTTAACTATTTTCATAGAAGGCGTACCCTGGTCGAGTTTCCGATGTAGAAAACAGCCTGTTTTCCTCCAACTCCAAAGTAGGAAATATCACTGTTGAGACTACGAGGGACGGGATCAGGCTGAACATACCCCTCTTGCTTACTGTGGTGAAAAATTAAAAGATACATTAGAAGAAAACTTTGGACAATCATGGCTAAACTGAAGCTAGAAAGTGAAGTAGGTAAAGCACACCAACCCTCCAACTGTGACATTTTCCCTGGAAAATTTAGAGAGTCTGTACACGGCCCAGTTCTTGAGCTGTTTCGAGGTCATCCCACACCCGTTATCCAAGACAATCACTGTAGGTTTCCCAAGAGTTTCATCAAACACCTGGACAACAGAGTCAAGTCAACATGACATTTGTAGGTAAACAGAAGGCACAGACTGGCAAGGTTAAATATTTGGTTAGGAAGATCACATGCAAATGCTTAACCAACCATCCGTATCTCTATTGTCCTCAATCCCGTATTTTTAGCTGTGGCCGAAAGAGAGTTGTCCATCAGCTCAGCAAGTGCGTATGCTGGGAAAAAATAATAAAGCTATGAGTGATGATATGCAGCTAAATGTCTCTGTTCATTTCAAGTGTACTACTTGCATTATACCAGAACTTACGCAATGATTTCTGGCCCTCACTAGCGTAGTACTCGTACAGGCCGCCCTTGATCAACGTATCGTAATGAGGCACAAACGTGATGCGCTCCTCCGTTGACCCTGCCAGAGCTTGGTCCTCCCGCTGAAACAACTGGAGGGTGCTGCCATCCTGAAGCTCCTCTACAAGGAAAAAATGAACCATTTTATCTGTCTTGTGTACATTCATATAAATAACGACTTATCACATGAACTGATATAATTTAAACAAGATACAATGATGACGACGACGACGACATTTACAGATCACATTAACTAGGAAAGCCATGAAACAGCTTGTTTTTGGTGCAATTTATTATCAGGCTGCAGCCTCTTCTCTGCGTACTGTGTTGATAAATATATAAATAAAAGTTAAATAACAATATTCTAAAATGTATTTGTTTATTTACTGTTTATTGTTGACTTTTGCACCAACAGTGACTGATTTACTCACTAAATTTGTCGAAATCCAGGACAATTCGGTCCGTTGTGGCCAGCACATATGTTTCACGAGGACGGATTGAGAATGTCTGTAACAAAATGTCAAAAATAAGCGTCAACAATACGTCAATGCATTGATTAGTCAATCAACAGACAATTTAGAGGCAACTATTTTGTGAATTGATTCATCGTTTTAGTCATTTGTCAAACCAAAAGTGAAACCATTCTCAGATGCGAGGATTTGTTGCTTTTTATTATTGTAAACTGTAAGACTTTAGGGTGCCCCTGTAGCTCCCCCAAGCAGCGGTAACTGGCATGGAAGTCAGTGGCAACTCCCCTAAACAGCGGCAACTGCAGTGGCAGGTCAGTGGCAACTGCCATTGCAAGTTAGTGGCAACTACCCCAAACACCAGCAACTGTCGTTGCAAATCAGTGGCAACTCTACCAAACAGCGTCAACTGCCGTGGCAATTCAGTGGCAACTACACCAAACACCAGCAACTGTTGATGCAAGTCAGTGGCAACTGCAACAAACAGCGCTAAGTCAGTGACAACTCTCCCAGACAGCAAAAACTGCCATGGGAAGTAAGTGGCAACTACCTCAAACAGCAGCAACTTCAGTGGCAAGTAAGTGGCAGTGGAGCCTGCCATCACAAGTGCCACTGCTAGCTGCCACTATTTGAGGTCGCTGTTAGACATCAAACTACCGATATCCATTCAGTAGTACATCGTGAAACCTTTATCTCACATTTTCAATCCCTAATTAAAAAAGGCAATTGTTCCTCTTGAACAAAAAATAGGAAAGATTATTATAAAGATGCCGGTTTCAACCAAATATATAGACCCATCATCCAATATTATAGTATGTGTTTAGAAAGAAAACACTTGACATATATGCCACACTACAGAAGTGTGATTGAAAGCATCCTCTGTCAGTGCTTTACTGTGTGGTATGCCAGCTACACAGCAGGGAACCGGAGGGAGGTGGCCCGTGTGGTTAGAACAGCACAGGGGATTGTGGGAGTTACCCTCCCTGATCTGGACACTGTGCTGTATGCTAGCAATACAACGACACTTTAACAAAGCACTGTTTTCACTTTAAAGCCATTGGTGCATGTGTTTTATCTTGTATGAATTGCATGTCTTGTTTTAAATCAGTAATGTCTTGTCTTAATGTTTTTACCTTGTTGCTGCTGTACTGACTGATGAGTCGCCAACTTAATTTCGTTGTATGTTTTTACGATGACAATAAACATCCTTTATATGGCGCATACACATTTAATTTATGAAATATACAAAGGTCAGAGACAGGAAGGAAGTTGTACTTAAGTGCAGTAACGTTTATCAACTTCAGTATTTCTCTTGGACAAGAGAGCAAATGACGTTACCGTTTAAGTAAAGTTAGACAACATTACCCGGTGCAGAAGTCGAAGAAAGCCATTGAAGTCCAAACCACTTGTATCCAGCAATTTACTCGTAATTTGCTTTTCATCTTCAGGGCGGCAGTCGTAAACACTGATAGTCCTGCGGTCTCGTCTTTCCTCCATGGTGACTGCTGAGAGAAGCGGAGAGCTCCAAGTGCACAGCGTCCAACTTCAGAGTATAATCAAGCTAACAAGCTGGCTAAGCTACATATGCATTACAGTTTAACATGACTTTGACGAAACTGCATTTGGTATATGTTGTCTTAAAACGCCCGCGACCTTAACCAAACCGCGCCCAGTCGGAGCCAAATGCGAATTTCAGACTGTTATGCTATAATATGGGGTCTGGCCCTTTAAGTGCTTGGTTCACGTCTCTATGGTAGCTCTACAGGGACACACCCCATCCACTTCCGCGAAACCGAAATAGCAACAACACGCTTTGACTTATGTTATCATTTCCTGGAATGGTTTTAACACGTTGGATGCGGCTGCTGAATCGAAACCACAGCTAGCTTGTTCAAACATGTATTCACGTGCAAGCTAGTTTTTAACCAATCGAAATTTTGCACAATGTCCGTGGTAGTTCGGAGCACGCGGGGCTGGGTTTTAGATGCGCGATCACTCATTGATGAGGGATATTCGCGTTGCCTCCGACTCAGAGATAATCAAAAGTCACACGTGAAGTGTCGATTCAAAAGTCAATGCTTTCAGATTTTAAAAAGCCATTATAGTGTGAGTGCCAGTGCTGCTGTGGATGAAGGGAGCACGGATATGTTGCAGAAAACAGACAAAGCATCAAAGGTACAGCAGGGGCTCATACAAGTTACTTTACAGCGACAACTGCTGGTTCCTGGGACTGTATTCACTCACAGACGTGAAGTAACGTTACACTCATGTATTGCAACATCAATTATGTTCAGATTATCTAAACAACAACTAGTGCGGTCATGATTCCTGCAGATATTCATTTTTGATTACATTTCAACAACAAGGAAGGATTTATTCATTGATTGTTTTTATTTAAATTTATCTTTTCAGAAATCGGAGACACATTTTGTACAATTTTTTTTTATTTGTAATTCAATTATTTGTTTATTGGAAATTCTCTAAGCAAAAAATGTATGCAGGAAAAGAATCTATGAATGAATATTTACTAAAAAGTCATTCATTTTTTAAATATACATTTTACTTCCAGAAAAGGAAACGAAAACACAGTGAACTCAACCAGGGGGAAATTGATTCCCAGGCCTTCCATGAGAAGGTAGGTTTAATCTCATTCTCTTCTAGCTGCATGTTGTCTTTGGAAATAGTTTTGTGCCGGAGTAGAAGTATAAACAAACGGAAGTACTTTAAGTACAGTACTTGAATAAATGTACTTAATGTCTTTCCACCACTCATGATCACGACACATTTTATTTCATGCATTTGAAATACAGTATCTGCCAGCACAGATCTCCTAAATGTATAATAATATTTGTGCTGATGTAGATCAGGTCTGTTGTCCTTGAGGGAACCAAGTCCCTGGTGGACTCTGCCCGATCTCTGGGACATCTAAACGGCGTGACAGACGCAGTGAAGGAGCCTCTTCCCTCTCAGGAGTGCAGCCTCGCTGCTCTCTGTGAAATGGCTAAAGAGCTTCCTCTAGTGGACGAAGACGAGCAGGAGGAGTGTGTGCAGCTACTTGTTGCTGAAGATGGCTGCACGTCACACGTTGACTTGTTCTCTCGGGTAACAGAGAACGGGGAGGACTGGGCTACAGTGGTCACACTGATGGGAGAGGAATATGTAATACCACCACACACAGCCTTCCTGCTGTCTGATTTCACAAGAATGCGACCCCTAGTCCACTGTGAGTACAAGATTGGGAACTGAGGAATGTGTAAATATTTTTCAGGCCATCTGGAGCGGATTTGACAGTTGTCACTGCACCATTGTGGTGACTTCTTTTCTAGGAAAAAAACACTTCTATTGTGGCGTAAATATAACCACCCCTTACTGAATTCATCACTGTAAATAATTCTAGCATGATTCTCAAGAGAGAGCACGCTCGTTGTTTTGCCCGGTCTGACATTGTTTACCAAAGCTGCTTATTTCTCACGCAGATGAAAGAAGATTTGACTTAATAGTTATGGATCCACCGTGGGAAAACAAGTCTGTGAAAAGGAGTCGCAGGTAACTTGTATATATATATATATATATATATATATAAAAAATACAATTCTAACAATTTTCAAATCTATATGTGCAAAAAGTATTATTTTATTTGTTCAATAATACTTTTATCAGTACTTTTATGTAGTTTTTCAGAATCAGAGAGAAGGATATAGTAGCTGAATTTACAACTTATAATATTTTATATCTATTTTCTTAATGAAGGTACAGTTCGTTGCCCTCGTCCCAGCTGAAACGGCTCCCTATACCAATGCTGGCATCCCCGAACTGTTTAGTGGTCACCTGGGTCACAAACCGGCCCAGCCACCTGCGCTTTGTCCGGGATGAGCTGTATCCACACTGGGGGGTAGAAGTTGTGGCCGAATGGTTATGGGTCAAGGTACACAAACTTTGAATAGATACAGCTCTCAATCATGAACATCTGACGTACTGGTGTGATTCCAGATGTTTTACTCTCTTCCTCCACCCCCCCCTCAGGTGACCACATCTGGACAGTTTGTGTTTCCACTAGATTCACATCATAAGAAGCCGTATGAAGTGCTGGTGCTGGGCCGATATCGTTCCACTGCAGATAACGCCACAAGGTGCAAAATGTTTGACTTCTCTGTGTCACTTCTCATACTGTTTATGCTATAAACAGTTAAATGGAATGTATTTGTTTCACCACTTCCAGCTCTTCAAGGACATCAGAGGCTCCTGTGGAGGACCAGCGTTTGATTGTCAGCGTCCCATCAGCTCTCCACTCCCAGAAGCCCTCACTCTCAGGTAAAATAGAACATAACAGTACTGTTGTGTTTTTCTATGCCACCAGAGGGCAATGCTGCAACGTCAAAAGATTGTTATCTTGCTTTACAGCCTCAGTGATAGCCCAACATCGGACTACGCTGACGTTTAAAATGCACCGTTTTGATTTGATTTCAGTAACAGTTACTACATGCAGTGTGTTTTTAATGAGGAATAGACACATTGAAGTAATAAATGTTTTTGTTTTTTTTACGTTATGTAATATCACACTTTTTGAATGTTTAACTTGAGGAGAAAAAACTTCTCAAACACAACATGCAGGGTTTCATTATAACGGGAGGAAGAGAATCCTGAACCCATGACAGGTTTGATTTGTCAGAGTGGGGACTTCTGCTCAGATTTAATCAAATTTGTCCCGTCTGCACTGATTGTGGTGTTGCAAGACTTGACTTCCAACATGGCCTCCCGCTGCTTAGAATCGATGTAAAACCTTGACAATGAATATGCAGGGGGCGATGAATAAGAGAGGCTTGACGTCATGTCCCTCCCTCTCAGGGGAACGCGATTTATTGTGCAGTATGGAGAGAAAAACACAGCCAGTGTTTGCCGGCGCTCTTTCAGAAGCACAGAAAAGCCTCCACCTCAAGGGGGGCTGGACACTGTTAAAATACACTGATCTAAACCATAATGACGGCTTTGTGGAGCTGTGATACCATAGAGATTATATAGATTAGCGATAGATAGACAAGACTCTCCGCAGGTTTAATCAGAACCGGTTTACTTTATTCCGGCTGCTTTATTTGCTGTTGTGGAGGCATTTTCATAGTATGAAATACAGACACCTAAATTAGACGAGCTCTTATTATTAAAAACAAAAAATACTACTGCTAAAGGGCCAGAATGAGCAGCATCTATAACTGTGGTGTGTGCCTCCGTTGCGTGCGTTTTAACTCCAGTTAGAGGTGTGAGATGGTGGGTGTGGCTCGAATCCGTGAGTGTAATAATTGTAAATTGCAGTGTGTCACGAAAGGGGCTTGACCCGACTCTTGCACAGCTGCCAATGAAAGTGGAACGGTTTATTTATTTAACAATTTGACAAGATAATTCAACACCTCGGAGTGTGAAAGGTAAGATTTCTTTTTCTTTTTGTTCTCTCCTGCAATAGATTATGCAACCGCTAGAAATTTCAAATATGTCTCAAGACCTTTGGCATTAATTAACCTGAGCTTTTTTTTTTTATACTTTCATCTCAAGCTATCATCCCTGTAATTCTGCTGCACTTTGTCGAGCATGTCAGATCTGTAAGCAACAGCATCGATGGTGTGAAAGCCACGACCCGCAAGTCTGCAGTGTTGAGAAACCCTGACCCACTTCTCCCTCCCCTCTCAGATGGGGCTCCTATCGCAGACATTTGTGGTTGCTATGGAGAGATGTGGGACACCATTACACTACAACACATCCTTGCCAGATGGTCAAGCTGCAGGAGAAAAAACAGTGTTTGCACTAGACAAGACGTGAGGTTTATTATTAATTAGGGCTCCCTACAAACAAAGTCCCGTCCCAGCTCGATATTATAATTATGGTTTAAATATCTGTTTATGCACACTATACATGTTGGGCTGACGTAGGAATGGATTCGTGAGAGTGATATATGCACCAGTATGTTTTATTGGCAGCTACAATATTTGGCCTATTTATAAACTTGTGAAAACAGTCTATTCAAAGAAAATAAAATCCAGATTAATATCAAGCTATTGATTCAAAGTGGTTATTCCATGTCTTGTAAACTCTGATGCTAAAGGTCCAATAGGCTTTTGGCCAATTGAGGGCGAAGCAACAAGCTGTAAACAGAACATTGACATATTAGCACTTCATTAGGTTAATAAAGTGAACAGCTTTTTGCTCGTTTTTGGTCTCCACCAACTCTTTAGCTGCTAAATGCTCCACTATGTTTGCCAGTCAGTCACTAACTTTTGTCTGTTTGACGTATGCTGCTGAGCATGTAGCTTAAGTAGATTTTAAAGGTTTTTTTTCACTCAAAAAAAGCCTTCTGCGTCTAGAAATGACACTGATGAGAGCGAGGACGTAAAACTAAAACAATACGCTTAAAGACACTCCAATGCTCAGTAAGTACCGAGTGGTTGTAATTCTCAACTATAGTGACTCACACTATACATAGCCATTTCATGATTGGCTATGAGTCGGATAACCCTTATGGTACTGGCATCGAGATTCAGATGGACACAACAAGACCCCGTGGGACTCCACGTGTGTGCTGAGAATCAAAGTCATTGATTATGTTGAAGGGGAAGAGGACTGAGACTAATAAGAACAAACATTACAATCTACGGCATCTTCGACTACATCCAACCATCCAACATCCAACCAAGGCAGAATATCTAAGAATGAATATGTTACTTGTCCAGAGTTTAGTTAAGAAAAGCCTTCCTTTGCTTTAGGCCACTCTCGGCAGAAGTTTCATACGTTGTCCCATTTCAGAGTTAAAGATGATAATTGGACCTTTTATTCTCCGTTCAACTTTGAGAGCTGAGTCACCGGTTGAAGTTGAATTAGTCGGAGACCTGCATGTTTGGCCTTTTCTCTCCGTGACTCTTGTCTCTCTGACGTGCAAAGGAAGAGAAAACTGGGAGGCAGGACTCCACATTGTGCAGGTTGGATCGGTTTGGGGATCAGGCTTTTGGGCTCATTAACTCCCTGAGTGTTGGCTGAGGCGAGTGTCAGGGTGGTTTGAGCATGCACAAGAGCAGACAGAGTGTAGCACCGGGGCAGAGGAAGTGAAACGTATCTGTCAGGTGCACTGCTCCAGGAATATCATCTCTTATAGACTCAAGGTCGCTGCCACATAGAAAAACGTGTGCTGTGCTGTGAAGGAGCTGGGCAGTTGCCAGTGTCCTCTGCCTATTGCAGAGTAACAAGCAAAGTGCCACCATAAGGAATGGAAGCAGTGGAGTAACCTTACAACCTGAATTTGTGTCTTTTAGAGACACTGCACTAGGAAGCCTGGGGAAAAAAAGCTGCAATGTCAACTCCTTGTCGATTCATTTGAAGTAAATAAATTGCTGGTGTGTGTTCGGGCCAGGAATTATTCAGCCCTTATCCTTTTCAATCCTCCAGATACACACAAAGTACGCAGTTCGTGGAAAAAAGGGGTCCCTCGAGTCAAAAGCTAGTTTTAAGAACAGCATCAATTTATTAGGCTTTAACCAGAGAGGGCAGTAAAACACAGCTTTTAAGCCTTGAAACGGCAAACCCAAGGCAGGCAGAACTGGTTGTTTATTGGGTCTCTAGGTGAAATATACTGTTGCCATGTGTTGTCTGCAGTTTGCACTTAATTTAAATTCTAACGTGACGGGGCACACACGCAATGCACGGAGAGGGAGAGGAACAGAATGTCAATAAGGGCCTTATTTCGGCCCCGGAGAGGGTTGAACCAGTCACAATCATTCCTCTTCCTCGTTTCTCTCGTTCTGTAGAGGTGTTGAAGCCCCACGTCGGAGCTGAAGCCAAGTGCTTGGAGCTGTTTGCCCGAAGTCTTCAACCTGGATGGACCAGCTGGGGCAACGAAGTGCTCCAATTTCAGCACACAAGCTATTTCACTTTGACACCAGCAGACGACGGAGCAGAGGTCCCTCAAGGCGACGCCGCAGACAAACCCACAGCCACACCGGCGTTAAGCTCACCCAGACAATCCTCTCCTCCCCGCCGCTGCCCCACCACGGTGGACTAATGACTGACCAGCAACACCTGTCACATCTGTATTTCAATGCGTTTTCAATTAGGATTCAGTGGCAGAATTATTCTATAGCAATTTATTTTGATCTGACTTCTTGTGCATGTGGGACCTTTGATTTCTTTAGGGGGTGGGGGGGGTCTGGGTACATTTTTAAGGTAGCGAATCGCAGGGCTGATGATGGAGAGATGAAAGTGCATTTCTGTGCCGCTATGTTCTTAACTTCCCACACTGCATTCAGATAAACAACACTCAGGGTTTATTTTGTGGATTAATCTTTGGCGCAATATGTGTCCTAAGGATGATCAAAGTATTTTTACACATTTTATGCTGTTTTGAACTGAATTTCAAAAATGTTTCCCATTCCTAGTAAAATAAACTGTTTCATACTGAATGCATTCGCTTGTAGCTGTCCTTTTACAAAACTTTTGTGTTGAAGTTTTCACCCGAAGCGCATGCTGCTGCGCCACGTCAAGGACGCCCAGTTACATAATGTGTCCGTGACTTTTGTTTTGTTTCCACTGAAAGACGTACTCTCCCTGTGTCACACGCCTAAACGTCAGCATAGCCATTAACCTACCTTTTCCTATCGGGTGGGGCCTCTAATGAGTGTGGTCTCCAGAGAGAGGAGAGGTGGTGTGGTGGGGAACGAGCAGGGCTGTCTTAAAAGCAGATGAGAATGAGTTACGACCACAGCAGCACAGTACACATCACAGCTAATGAGTGGGACTCCAGCAGGGTCGTTTACACATTAGCTTGTCAGGCTCTCTCTCTTTCTCCAACACACCAACACACCAGTCCATACGTCTATTTCTTCTTACCTGAAATCAAAGTCCTTTACAGAGTTCCCACAACTAAACTCAAAACAGCAGTGACTTAGGTTTACAAAGCTTTATCGTCCACTCTAAATGGACCGTAATTTACTAAATGAACGTCACACTGTATTGAAGAAGACTTGAAATTACTTGATAATAAATCAAGTGAGAAGTAGAGTCATTTTCATATAGACTTCTATACAATCAGACTTCTTTTTGCAACCAGAGGAGTCGCCCCCTGATGGCCGTTAGAAATAATGCAGGTTTAAGGCACTTCAAGTTTAACTTGGTCGAAGCCCAACTTACTCTTTGGTGTGTCGTACTATATTAAAGGTACACTGATAAGTAAATATGGTTTTATTTACTGCGACAAAAACCTCAAATATATCTCAAGGTCCACTTTCTTGGTTTTTCAGAAATTTAGCGTCACTGTTGTGGCTCCATATCGAATATGAAATATATTACAGGTGCAGAGTCTTCCCAGAATGCTTCACACGTAATCTGAACTCTCACCTAAAACCTGAAGGTCTTAGGTTTAAAGATGGATTACTAAAAAACGTTACTGACGAAGGTATGAACGATGTTATTATCTCAGCAACTCATCACTCCATACAGTTGCTGTGCTGTCACATAATGCAACAAAGGACATACCACTCTTTCAGGATTGTAAATGTACAAGTTGCACAATATACATACGTATGGTTTAAGCTTTAACAATTGAGAAACAACTTTGGAGGTGGAGGTGGAGAGGTACTCAGCAGTAGGTCGTCAAGGATTTCTCGTTATTGTCTGTGTTCCCACGGAAACGAAAGGCAAATCAATGAAATTCACCACTCATCCTTGAATATTTCTCAGAAAGAGTTCCTTTATGAAACACGCCATAGCCGGGCATTTGACGCATGCAAAGCTGCCGGCGTGATGCGCTTTGTCTCCATTGGCTTTTCATCGGCGACTTACCACCTCCTGCTCTTTCAAACCTGGCTTATCAAGGCTCACAAGCTGAACACTTCACACTAAGGTTAGAGTTTGCCTTATGTTGTGAAGGAGTCTGTACACGGCTGCTTTCCTCTCGCATGAACTTCTGAGAAATTCATTGAGATAAAGTACAAAAAGATGGAATGCAATCATAAGAGAGTCTACCTGAAGTCGACCGTATCACAGCGTCACTGTCCCAAATATCGTGACGCTTTCAATACGCTACAGAGTGATGTCACCGCGGTCATCGTCTCTCTTTTAGGCGCCAGTGGACGGAGAGTGTCCTGTCAAAAATCACGATGAAGCACCACAGTGAAGACCTGGTCTCCCCTTCTTCCTCCAGCTCCCCCCTCCCCTTGTGTGAGTTTTGTCTTAAATCCCAGCCATCCTATTTGACTGCACTGTCAACCAGCAGCAAGGGCTTCACCTCAAATTGTCAATCAGCTGAGCGACACTTGCTGTCGTCTTTGTGGTGAGGAGATGGAGGACTAAGAGCTGATTCATTTCAAAACTTCCACAGTTCCACCCTAATGTGCTAATTCCACTTAACCTCAAATGGAAACGCTAAGAACTTCATCCGATCCCGCTTGAAGGCTGATGGCCTGTAATGAACACAGACAATGAAATCAATTTCTATAAATAGTTGATACATCTGAGAGGTTATGAGATTATTAATGATGTCGGAAAGAAGAAAGAAATACATACATTTGTATTCAGTACTGTTCTCTCATCATTACTTTTTAAATGCCGTGGACTATAAATATAAAGTATTATAGTTGCATAAGTGCAACTTATATATCTTACTTTCCATTACAGACTGAGTAGTAATTGACTTTGACATGTAAAATTGGTTGAGTGTCCCTGTAAATGTTACGACTTGCTCTTATTTTACATCTGGCTAGTAAGAAAAAGACGTGAGTCCACGTTTCAAGACGACTGAGAGAGAGAATGTGTCATATCTTCTTGCTTTGATCAGATCAGACACTTTGCTCGTGGTGACTGATTTGGTGCCGTCCCTCCAGTGCGTAAGCCATCACAAGAGAATAGCCCATGTTGCCAATGGTAAACTGGCAGACATATTTCCCATGTATAGTCCCGGGGATGAGAGAGTTTGAGAAAATGTTGCTGTAAATAGTCAGAAGCTTTGTCAACAACTCCGCTCACAGAGGGAAAAACAAAGCCTTTTGGTTTGCAGACAGCCGTGGAGCAAACTGGCAGCCATCACGGCTAGATCTCCCACAGGAGGCTGCGGGGGGATGAGAGAGATAATTATTTCCTAAGAGGGGCTGCTGCTGCTCCTCGTCTGTCTCGATCCCTCGGCCCTGTCCTCCGCGCTGCCTTTGCTACACGCACATGCAGCTTAGCAGCAACTACAAGGAACGGACACTTAGTAGTTTCGTCAGTCTGCACCATCAGAGAGAATGTGAAATCTTAAGTGGAGTGTGCAGACGTACAAGCGATTCCCAAGGAATACATTTATTACGACCGACTCTGATGTTTATGGTATAGCAGCTCTAGTATGTTGTTACATTTCTAATGAAGAGGTTTGCAGTAACAAGAAACACCGATATTTTCTAACTGGTATCTTATTTTTCCCCTTCTACAAGCAAAATAAGCAATTAAACAATATTAAAGTTCTGATTTCTTCAAACTTTCTTTTTGTGACACACAATATCACAGACACTTCTTGCTCCCTAACTCGGACTTTTTTATTCATCGGCAGATATCCTAATATTATTTAATAATAGTGATTTATTTTTCTAATACAGTCCTTAAACAGGCAGCGCGAGCTTTGATTTCCTCTCTGACACACATTCAACTGATACATTTCATCTCCTCAAAGGATTCATTTACCTCCCAAATTTGCAGATGAGAGGAATGAAAGCAAATGCTTTGCAGAATGTCTTAAATGTATTCATGAGGATGTAGAGTCTGGTAACATAATCTGATTTAACACAGTGCCATGTACTTTATGAAAATTTTCAAAGTCACCCAAGGGACGAGATATATCTGGCTGTCATTAAATATACATATGAAGCGAGGAGAAGGGAGAGATGAGCATGTTTCAGCGCTAAATCGAGACATGCTGCGGAGCTCATCATTTTACAAGAACTCACACTGCAGCTCACAGATCTCACACTTTTATCCTGAATCAGTGCCGAAAAGCCACATTAGTGGGACTTATGTGTAACACAATAATCAAAGTTATGTCCCCATAACAGCCCCCTGTATAATTCCTGTCCAGCACCAATCTGCAGACAGACACGGTTAGCGACTATAGCTGGTGAACATATTTGAGCATTGACGTGCTAAAGAGTTGGTGAAACAAAAACGACGTTAACGCGAGACGTCAGTGCTAATGACAAACAGGAAGTCCCCACTGCAAGCCACTGATAGCCAACAAGCTAACAAGCTAACAAATCAACAGGCTGAGAAGCAGTGAAACACACATAGAACTGTGAAGACACACACACATCTTGTCCAGAAGTTTGATTTTCTGTCATTTTGTTCCACTGAATAACTGCTGCTGCGTTGTAATGTTTTATTCACATCTTACGGCTCCAGTTGTAATTTGATTCGCGTTAATTAGTCGTTCCCTGTGACTGTGGGCTTTCGCTTCATGCTGCTCCCCTCCCGCCACACTTCCAAAGACATGCATGTCAGGTGGACGGAGACTCCTAATTGCCAACTTGTTTGAATGTGAGCGTGGCATTTTCTCTTTTTATTTTCTGTTTTAACCGTAAACCTGCTTCCCAGGCATGTCCTCTGCCCGGTGCATGCTGGGATAGGCTTCAGCTCCTGGGAAATACTGTATATAAATGTCTATATCCCTGTGTTGAACCTGTCTTCCTTCTCATCACAACCAAACCTCTTTCTCTTCATCTGTCGCTCTCCACATATTGACAGAAAGCTCAAAGCTAATACTTACGAGGAACATGAATG